TGTGATCGCATTGCCATCATGGCCGCCGGCCACTTTGAGTGCATCGGCAGTACGCAGTACCTTCGAACCAAATTCGGCCAAGGATACTCCTTGATTATAAAACTCAATCCCGATATAGTCGCCGAATCTGACATGTACCTAGACAAGGTGCAGCACTACATTGAGGATCGCCTTCCCTCGGCGTTGCTGCGCGACATCCACCAGACGCTGCTCTTCTACCACATTCCCCCGGAGTCGGACGTCACCTGGGCGTCGCTCTTCTCGGTGATGGAGGAGGCGAAGGCAGGGCTGCAGCTGGAGGACTACCAAGTGGGCGACACGACGCTGGAGCAGATCTTCCTTAGTTTTGCCAAACAACCTCAAGCGACAGAACGACCTAAAAGGAAATCTCTTTCTGACATAGCCGAAATTCTCTAAATTGTGTGTAAACTTTTTTTAAAACACATCTTTTCAAATGCCTCAATTTTTTTTGGTTTGAACTTTTTTGTACCATTTTTTCCTGTCAATGAACCTCCGCTTGTTGTTCAGTTTTCAGGAAAGAAAGTCACCACCACTCAAGTCACAACTGTCTCACTCACCTCATCATCATTATCACTATCACTACTACCATCAGCTCACACTGAGGCCAAAGGAAACTCCCTCAAACTCTTTCATCTCTCATACTTTTCACCAAGTCATATCATCATCATCTTCATCGTCATTATCATCATTGCCCCTTTTTCAATCTAATGTACATACTTTGGTGCCAGATTAGACTAAAAACAATTATTAAGATTAGTACTGATATAAATAATTTGAATAGTATTTGTGAAAGTTAACTTGTTTTTAATTTAACTTTTCAATTTGCTTTACATTAACATCATAATTGGTATTCACTTCTAAATACTGCAGTTTTATTAATTAATTTGTAAATTTTTAAATTGTTGAAACTGATTAAAAGTTGAACTGTACAAAAAAATATTAAAATGTTTGTATTTTTATTTTTTAACAACTTCGTTTATATACTGAGTACATCGCTTGAAGATAAAAAATTTCGTCGTAAAGATACTGCTTTTTAACATGAAAAAAACGAAGGACACTCACTTTACTTACTTTCAGTGCACGCTGCTCAGTACATCTCTTTTTTGTTTTTGTACTCTTTTCAAGCCAATGTATGATAGGAAAAGAGATTAAGTTGAGTGCAATCGATTAAAATATACTGCACTAAACATCAGACATTTTTCAGTCTAAAAAGATGAACGTTGCAGTAGCAGTGTTAACAAAAAATATAGCTTGAATTATTGTGACTTTTAAAAATGATTGTTCATCAAAATCAACCACCCATCAGCATTGCTTGGACTAATTTGCAATTTGATGTAAATGAATTACATTTGAATTGGAGATGGCGGAAAAAGAAAACTATTCTACAACCAATGTCTGGTCACTGTTTTGCAGGTTCAGTGACAGGTTTGATGGGTCCAAGTGGCAGCGGTTGGTTTTTATTATTGATATTTTAAAATTTTATTTTAACATTTTTGTTTTAAAATTTAGGAAAAACTACACTTCTAAACATTCTCAGTGGAAGTACCAACCCCACTGCTGGCCAAATTTTTCTAGGCAATCATTTGGCAAATAACTCTCCAGTTTCTTATTACATTCAACAGCACATTCACGAAAGTATTGTCAGTGAACTGACCGTTGAACAAATTTTGCGTTATGCATTTGCATTTAAAAATAACGTAGAAAATGATTCTGAAAATGCAGAAGAACATATAAAGAAAATAATGAAAACGTTGATGCTGCCAATGGAACTTTGCACACGGCGTTTTGACCAGTGCAGCGGTGGTGAGCAGAAAAAAATCTCCATCAGTCAAGAGTTAATGGCTCTCAGCCCACCTTCATTTCTCTTTTTGGACGAACCTACGACTAATTTAGACAGCGTATCAGCATTTGAAGTCATTTCTTGCCTTACTCAACTAGTCAAATCATCATACCAAGCGATGACCATCATTGCTTCAATACACTCTCCAAACGGCGAGACACTTTGTCTTTTTGATCAGTTGTACGTTCTTTCTAAAAATGGCTACTCTATTTACTCTGGTGCTCCAAATCAAATAGTGCTTCAGTTATGTGACAAAATACAGTTTAAAGAAAACCACCCACCAATTGAGGTTTTGCTCAAAGAAGCTTGTCAAGGTATGTTATAATTTTATTCATCGGTTAAATAATTGACATAGTATTGACTTAGAAAATAATTCATCAAACGTACTTAAACTTGCCAGTGAAACACTAATCAAAGAGAAATCAATTGTTGAAGTTAACTATTCTACTATTGCCAACCAACCGTCAGGTTTTACATGCATTCGCAAAACGTTTTGTGCATCTGATTTGATAACATTTCTTCGTCGCCAATTTACAATAACTTTTTGTGCTCAATTTCAAACTTTGCTTTTCTTGCCTGCATTTTTCTTGGCTCTTATTTTCATAGTTTCTAATGTAATGGCATTTAAAGGCACTAAACGTTCTAAATGTTCTATGACTATCAATTCAAGTGCAGTGAGCAATTGCACAGTTGAAGATCCATTTCAAATGTATAACCCAGAAATGAGAAATGTTTTTTACACATCACTTGTGCTACTTTTTACTGGTTTACTTATTATTACAACAACAACAGTCCTTCATTTAAAACATTTAAAAATATTTAAACTTGAACATAGAAACTGTAAGTAATTTTTTTACAAAAAACTAAGTAAAACACATTTTTTAATATGTCGTTTTATTGACCTTAGACTGGTATTCAGTGGGTGTCTACTTCTGGTCATCTACTACTGTTTCCCTTTTAGAATTAAAACTCAACGTACTGCTTCTTTCTGTGCTCAGTTATTTCCTTTCTGGCCAGCATCTTGATGATGAACACTTCAATTGGAGTCGTTTTGCGTTTTATATCCTATTTATGTGGCTGATGTGCATCTACTACCATGCAATTGGCCAACTTGTTGGAAGTTTGCTGATAAATCATCAGTTAATTGCAATCAATGCTTCACTACTTATTTACGTGACATTCACGCTTTTCAATGGACTTTACGTTAGACTTCACAGAACGTCTCATAAATATTTTGAAGAAATTGGCAATAGCATTGGCATGGTTTACGCCATTAGAGGCATTCACTATGCTATTTTTGTTTTTGATCGATGCAAAGAAGAAGGCGAATTTTCAGAAGTTTTAATTGATTTTCATATTGAGGAAGATAAAATTTATTTCTATGTGTTCCGAATTTTGGTTAATGTTTTTGCAGTTAAAATGTTGACTTTTTTAGTGCTGTACATTAAATTCAATGATTGGAAAAAAATTATACCAACTAACGAAGACACTGAAATAGAAAAAGAATTGTTTATACTTGATTCAAAATGCAAAAATGAAATCACACTTCAATTTAACAATTTAGTTGTTTCAGATAAAACTGCGACACAATTTAATAACAAAATTGCTATTGCTTGGAAAAATCTTAGTCTTTACAGCAAAAACTTTATGTACAGTTTTGAATCAAACAAAAACAAAACTTCTCAAAAGTTACTTCGTAATTTAAACGGTCAACTTAATTTCGGCACACTAAATGCAATTTTGGGAACGTCTGGAGCGGTAAAATTTAATTGTTAAACTTNAACAAAACTTCTCAAAAGTTACTTCGTAATTTAAACGGTCAACTTAATTTTGGCACACTAAATGCAATTTTGGGAACGTCTGGAGCGGTAAAATTTACTTGTTAAACTTATTAATGTAATTACTAAAAAATTTGTCAACTTTAGGGCAAAACTATGTTACTTAAAGTGCTCAACGGTCAACTCAAAATGAAACTGTCAAATGAAACAAAAATATACCTTTCTAAATTGACATCCATTCGAACGTGTTTTATCACACAAGAAGTTTCAGATCATCTGATTAAAGGATTCACCGGAAAGCAAATAGTGATGTATGCTTCTAGAATTAAAAACGCTTCAGCTTCAGTAAACCATGAGCAGGTTGCCGACAAATGGCTTCAAGAGTTGGACATTTTTTCTACTTCCAACACCCCGGTTGAACGGTGCTCAGGCGGAGAGCGGAAACGACTAGCAATTGCTCTTGAGATGGTTAACGTGAATCTGCCTAATCTAATTTGTGCAGATGAAATAACAAGTGCGCTAGACAGCCATTCTGCTGAAATTGTGATAACTACGCTAAAACGAGTAGCTAGTGCTCATTCTCTCACTATCTTGGTTTCAATTCACCAGCCAACACAAGCAATTTTAGATAAATTTAATCAAATTTTTATTTTAGCACGAGGAGGAGTTTCAATATATAATGGAAGTCCGAATGATTTAGGCCAGTTTATACATCATCAAATTCCTGAATTGCTAACAGCCAACACGGATAACACTCCAATAGAATTGCTCATCCGAGCTTCCTGTTCCCCGTGGCCAAACTATCTTACACTCAAAATGAAAAAATTAATTGAAGTCCCGTTTAATAATTCATCAGCAAACAATGAACTTAACAAACAAACTTACTTATCACTGGACGGAGTAATGGCAAACCGAAATCGATTTACTTTCCATTCAGTGCACCAATTAAGTGCTCGATATCTGCAGTACATTCGCGCCTACCTTTGGAAAGAGTGGGCCGCCTATTTGTACATTTGCATTGTGTTTGCCACCAACTTGCGCCTTCTTTTCTCTACTCAAATGATCTATTCCAGTGGTTGCATTAATTTTGAAGCCGACGACTTGAGCAGCTGCGCAAAAACTCCACAAAAAGTTCAAAACGAGATGCTGATTAAGGACAATTTCATTTACGTGTACTACTGCTTTGTCATCTATTTTATTCTTCCCTTGCTTTACACTGCTGTCAGCATGTACCAAGAAATTAATGTTTTCAGGAATGAGCATCGAAATGGTAAGTTAAACAAAATTTGAAAAATTGTTCTAACTTCTTTTTTAGGTTGGTACAGCGCTGGCGCTCATTTTCTCATGAAGATTCCCTTTGAAATGACTCCATTAGTCATAAGCAACGTCGTCTTTGTGTGCATAGTTAACATTTACGAGCCAGTCGTACAATCGAGCATTTACTTTTCATTTTGGTTTGTGTTGACGCTTGCTCAGCTAGGTTTAGTCTCTATGGCACAGTGCATCACTTTGTTATGCAGACAAAACTTCAGCCTAGCTATTATAGCACTGTCGGGAACTTACGTTTTTACAATGGTCATTGGCGGTGCCTTCGTTCCCTTTGACGAAATGCCCTACATCTACAAACTACTGGCTACATTTTCAATTCCTCGGTACACCTTTCAATCTGCCATCTTACTGCTCTTCGGTTTTGGTCGCTGTCAAGGACAATATGTCAGTTCAGTGCTGTACTCAATGAACATCAATGATGCCGACTACCTGTCACATATCTTCATGCT